TTTCTTTGGTACTGTAATTGGTTCTAGAGGAACATATTCTTAAGGACAAGATTTCTGAATTGGCTAGGTTGTCTAGAATTAATTGTCTAATCTATTAGACTAAAAGCATTTCAAGTTAAAAAGGGCATTAGTAGTCCATGGTATAATGTAGTGACAAAACTAGACAAAATAGCAACATTAGATAATCCTAGTCAAATATTTATAAAAGACACAGTGACTCTGTTGGTGTCTTAAAAGATTGTAGTGCAACTAAGTAGTATAAAGGGATTGATTAGTTGGTCTTAATTGCCTAGAGAATGTGGCAAAGAGAAGGGTAAACTCGAGGTTTCAAATTCCCATTCAAATTATGTATAAATGACCTGAAGACTTCTAAATTAATATTGAAAATGAAAGAAATAAACAAACAAAAACCCCACATAAAGTAATAAAACTCCTTTTCCCTCTGTAACCTCAGAGCTGAGATTTCTAAAACCAAACCCAGAAGTTCATTTGCCAGTGATAGAATTATAATACAAATTTAATGTTCAATTTCCCGAGGTGGTTTCTGTTAAAGTGAGGACATTGTTGTAAAGTAGATATGGCAGGTATATACGTTGAAATGTAGTATTTTTTCACTTGATTGCCCTTTTGACCCACTTTAAAATTGCTTGAGTTAAAAACAAATTGAAGGGGGAATACACGTGGATCAAGCTTCTGATGAATCCTCTCTGACGATGGCCCAGGGATGTGGGTCGCCTTGCTATCATGCAGAGAGCATTGGAGAGTGGATGATTGCAGATGCGGTGATGTTAGAAGTTAACACCTTATCAATTTGATTACCCTTTTGATCTATTTAAAATTTGTCCTAGTTTTTACTATTTTCCGCTTTCTTTTTGATACAGGATTTTATCTGTTATTGTTGTTATTATTTATTTTCAATGGTTTTCTGTATATGAAATCCTCAACTCAAAAACCCACTGTCATTCAGTGGATGCTGACTCATAGCGTTCCTAGAGGATACAGTAGAGTTTGTGAGACTATATATAACTGTTTATGAGAGCAGAAAGCCTGGTCTTTCTCCCACAAAGCTGGCTGGTGGCTTTGACATTGCGGATAGTGGCCGATGCATAACCACTATGCCACCAGGAGTCCTATATGAGATTCAGGATAGGTGAATCTAAAGAGACAGTAACTGGATTACTGTTTCATTGGGGGTATTGCAGGGGAGCTTAGGGGGAAATGAGAAGCTAATAAGCATGATTACAAGAACAAAGAAAATGTTCTAAAACTGATAGTGGTGTTGACTATACAACTCTTCTTGATGTGATTGAATTGTTAAATTGTATGAGATGTTAATTATATGTTAATGAAACTGTTAAAAAACAAAAATAAAGTGAGGATATTAATTAGGAAGGAATTAAAACAAAAAAATAAAGCAAACTGGTTACCCTAAAGTCATCTCTGATTCATGACAACCTCACTAAAAATTGGAATGGGGACATATGATTGGGTGGCAATAAAGCTGACAATATTAAACACCTCAATTCTGCCAAGTCCTTTTTACCAATAAAAGCAAGCTGTCCACCCTACCTGAGGAGTTATCCCTTATCTGTCTTATTCATTTTAGTACAGTCTATACTAACTCATAACAGCTCAATAGGCATTATAGAACAACCCACAGCATTTCCATGACTGTAAATCTTTAACAGAAGCAGGCTACCACCTTTTCTTGTGGTGTGTATGGTTGGTTCGAACCACTGATTTTCTGGTTAACAGCCATGTTCTTTTACTTTGTGTTACCAGGGCCTCTTTCCTTTGCATAAACTTATAAAAACCTCCCCCAAGAGAGTTGACTTGCAAATAACTATGGATTGATTGATGCTTATAACCATTCTTTGCTTTTAGAACTTAACTAAACTTAAGTTACAGTAGGCCCCAAAAGCTGAGGCACAATGTATGGTCTTTGAGGAGATGCACTAAAAACCAAAAGAATTGCAATATTTTTCTGTTTATATAAACAGACACCTAGGGAATGTGTGGGAATGGATATTAAGGATGTGGGTTGGTAGTAGAAGGAACATAAAGTTGAGTGTGGCTGGATTTATTGTTATTGGCACACTAAGTGGAAATTCTTGACAGTTTTTCATTCAAGGATGTAGAAAGGGCTCTTTATCAGTTTATTTTGTGGATTGGCTGAAATGTGGACCCCAAAGTGGCCAACACAAATCAAGCTGAAATGTCAGAACTACCTTGGTAGACTATACAAGGTTTCCAGAGGCTTAGGGGGATTGGAATGTTGAGGTATATTTATCATATAACACTGATCATTCACCCTGAGAAGATCCAGAAGACACACCTGTCACCACACCTGTTGGAAATAATTTTTGTGGTGAGCCCAGCATCATTGAAGAGTTCTTTGGCACTCTTCTAGGTAGGATGGATATTAAAGTTCACTGTGCTCATCAAACTGAGACTTCTACATGAAATTGAGACAATAGGATCCTAGTATGGCATAGTCAAGGGATAGTATTTAATTGCAAAAAAACAAGATGATTGTGTTTACCTTAATGGACAGCAGAGTTGAAGTAGTAATGATAAATATGAATCTGCTTCAGAGACCTACTTTGAGGCTAGCTGATCATGCTGTCCACACTAAAAAAAAAAAAGGTGGGCAGTTAAGCAGAAGAATCCTAAGTCAAGTGAACAAAAATGAATCACCGAAGCAGAAAAACAGATGGCGTGATCAGGAAAGGAATATCAAGCTATAAGAAGAGAGGGTCATCAAGATTATAATAATGAATGACTCTAATGACAACTTAACTGAAATGAAATAATTTTAAGAATAAAAAATAATCTTGTGAGATTTCAAAATAGCCCACCGTGTCCATTTAGCAATTGATAAAGATTGTCATGCAAAAATATTCCCAGCGGAATAGTATATCTTTTGACAAAAAGACTAGAACATTCAAGCATTGTTACATAAAATTATATGATCCAAGCTAGAACATCTTATATATTTTCCGTGCCCCTGTCAAGGTCATGCCCTAAAACACTACCTTTGACTACAGGAAAATGTCATATGTCATTAAGAATATACATTGTTATTACAGTGAGTACAAGGAAGAAGAAACTGTTCTGGAATTGACTGATGATGACTGTACAGCTCTTCTTGATATGATTGAATTATTGAATTGTATGACATGTGGATGAAGTGCTGATAAAGCTGTTAAAAAAAGAATATACAGTGTTTAAGTTTAAACTAATGAGACTTTCTAACAGGTTGAAATAAGTTTAGAACTACACAGGTTGTAAATAATCTTAAACTTATAAAACTAAAATAAAATAATCTTGGAGGGGGAGGGAAAAAAGGAGCTGATACTAAGGGATCAAACAAAAAGTGAATGATGATGGCAACATATGTACAAATATGTTGATACAGTTGATATATGGATTGTTATAAGAGCCCCCAATAAAGTGATTTAAAATAATAAAACATAATAATCTTATCAGTCATATAAAAATTTAATATGGTAAGACATGAAGTTAAAAGAAGGAAAAAAGTCAAAACAAAGTATGTTGTATAAATCAATAGTCTAATTAAAATATGAGAGATGTTGTTTCCAAAGTGTTATAATAAATCAATATGCCTATTATCCTTACATTCTTCATATATTTGATTATTTTACTCATGGAGTATTATTGCTGATCTCCCATCATCTTGTAATGTCCAAATGAGAGCACACGCTATTTGTTTCTTAGGGTATTGCATCTACCTTTCTGAATCAAAGAGAAAGAAATGAGAAGCAGTAGGTTCCGGGGATCCTTCACACCCAGGTCAAGTATTACCCAAGAAAAAGATCTCAGCTTTCTGTCAATGCCAGCGCTTGCGTTATGTAAAAGGAGCAGACTTCACTTAGGGTCTGGTTCCTGGTCATTTCATCTGTAGATTACATGCAGCTGTTCTAACAATGAAACACGGTATTATAATCTCTTTTTCCCACGGCCATGAGAAAACATGAAAATTCAATATGTGCTTTCCATAGTGTCTCTTTAGAGACAGAAAGACGTTTACCTCTCTTTTTTGCTAAATTTTGCAGTGACTAGAAGGAGTTGTCACTGAAGTCAATTGATTATAAAAGGAATGAGTTCCTTCACTTGCTCAGCAGTACTGACCAGGTCGTCGTTGTGGAACTTGACTAGCAGAGTCTCTTTTGTGCACCACACCTAAGGTAGAGAAAACCAGCAAACCCCCAAATGGTTGCCCTCGAGTTGGTTTTGACCGGTGGCAAGCCCATGTGTTACAGAGTATAACAGTGCCACTGAGTGTGCCTAGCTGTAATCTTTACAGAAGCATACACAGCACCAGTCCTCAGTCCAAAATGCCACCGCGAGGGTTCAAATCACCCATCATTTTGCTCAAGCTGTTCAGCATGTACTGGCTGAGCCACCCAGGGTTATGAGAAGACTTTCAAAACAAAACAAAATCAAAATTGATAAAAATCTCACCAACAGAACTCTAAAAACCAGTTTGATAATAGCTGGTTATTCCTTAAAGGAGTCCTGGTGGCATAGTGGATTGGGCTGCTAACCACAAGATTGGCAGTTTGAAACCACCAGTGGCTCCAGAGGAGAAAGTCGAGGCTTTCTACTTCCATAAAGATGTTCAGAATTGGAAACTCACAAGGGGCAGTTTTACTCGGTCCTGTAGGGTCACTAAGAATCAGAATTAACTCAACAGTGAGAGGTTATTCCTTTACATGTTCTTCGTTTAAAAAAAATCCGTAAGGCTTTCCTACAGCATGTTTCTTAGAGTTGTGACTGTTTTCCTCACTGCCTTATCAAAGGAAATGTTTGATCAAGAACATAAAAGGAATTTTCCTTGCACTCTCACCCTAAATTACTGTGCTGAGTTTATATGTTTATAATTTTAGACTCGCCCAGAATAGAGTGTTTCTTTTTTGCTTGTTTGTTTTGTTTTAGTTGTCAGTAATAATGAAAGGAAAAGAAATGTCCAAGTCTCTTCAGTGAAGAGAATCTCTTAAGAAAACATCTCGGCCACTTGTCATGGTCTTTTTGATGGCGTCTTTGACCTCCTTGTTCCTTAGGCAGTAGATGATAGGGTTGAGCATGGGAGTCAAGACTGCGTATATGGCTGAGATCAATTTGTTGGAGTTGAATGAAGCGATGGCACGTGGCCGGACATACATGAAGATCACCGCTGTGTAGAAGATGACTACCACAGTAAGGTGCGAGGCACAGGTGGAGAAGGCTTTCCGCTGCCCACTGGCTGAGGGTATGTGCAGAATGGTGGAGACAATGAAAGCATAGGAGAGGACAGTAGCTGAGAGAGGAAACACCAGGATGACGATGGCAAGCGCAAAGTCTACCATCTCGGCCATAGAAAAGTCCATGCAAGCCAGTTTAAGAATGGGAGACACATCACAGAAAAAATGGTTCAAGGCATTCTTACCACAGAAAACGACTTGGGATATGAAGTATACCTTAGCCATGGAGATGGTGAAGCCACTCACCCAGGAACTGATGGTCAGCTGAACACAGAACTCTGTGGTCATCATGACTGGATAGCGAAGAGGCCAGCAGATAGCCACATACCGGTCATAGGCCATGGCAGCCAAAAGCACACACTCAGTACAGGCGAGTGAAATGAAGAAGTACAGCTGGATCATGCAGCCCAAGAAGGAGATGGTATTAGGGTGAAGCAAAAATCCAGTCAGCATCTTGGGGACGGTCACTGTGATATACCAGGCTTCCAGAAAAGACATGGTGCTCAGAAAATAGTACATCGGCTTGTGCAGGGACCCAGTGACCCATACTGTAAGGATGATGACCAAATTCTCCAATAACACAAATAGGTACATGATAAGGAAGAGGAGGAAGAGCAGAATCTGCAACCTAGGGGTTGTGGGGAAGCCCACCAAGATGAACTCACTAATGTTGGTGATGTTTTCCTTCCTCATAGTAGGGCATCAAAAGACAATGATTTAATGATAATAATGTCTCATTGTAGAGTGTGATCCAAGCTAGCAGCAAGGGTCCTTCAGGCTACAGTAACTTTATCATTAAACTGAGTCATAGTGCCACGATCTGGTACTTGGACATAATTTAGGAGTCCAAAGAGCTGCAGTAACCTCTCCAGAAAATCATGGATCAGAACAGAACCTGAAAACAAACCTACTGCAGAAACAAGGCTAATGATCTCTAACAAGAATCATGAGATTAGATTCAAGATTCAAGCCTTTGGATCTGAGTCATAAATAGGTCTGTACGTAGTGTTAATGGTGAATACTTTCTTTGTCAGCATATTTCCAAATTTAAGAGACAGCTAAATGGCTGGAGACCATGGAGGCTGAAATCAGTTCTTAAGGAAGGTTCAGGAAGCAGGACATAGTTCATAGGAATCAGGGAAGTTTAAAACCTAGAGAAAATAAAAGAAGAATATTGACTGAAAAGGGGAAAATAATCCTCCTAGTCAAGAGAAATACTGACTGTAGCCTAATCAACTAGTTAATGCTAGAAATTAAAATTAATTGGTCTCTGCATATTTTAGGAATTTGACTTTAAAAATAAAATGAAGAAATATCTACCCTTCTATAACATCTAAACATATACTGATTTCTTAGGTGACCTCTTATAACATGCCTAAATAATTCACTTTTGATCCAAAATTAATTTGTGAGATTCACCCATCTATGTCCTCTTCAAAGCCTACCTCAAACTTTTTTGTTTTATTAGTCGGGATTTGATAAATATATCATATCATTCCATATTTCAATCATGTCAAGTACAATTGTACAATTGTTACCACAGTCGGTATCCAAACAATTTTTTTCTACATGGACTCCTTGACATCATCTCCCTCTTACCTCCCCGCAATCTACCCCCCTCCACCCTACCCCTTTATTCTACTTGCTGTCCATGTAAATTCATCAATCCTGGGTTCCATATACTAAAAAACGGAAAGGCATCATAAGGAGGATCCACTGACACAGTTTTAACTGTTCAGGTTAGATGTATGCCTTTGATCTTCTATACTTCTCCCTCCCAAGCACTCTGTTTAGTGAACACTTTCTTCCTTTCCCTCAATTTTAGATAGGGGGAGTTCTCCAGAGGTTCATTTCCCATGTAGTTCCACTCATGGATCTTGGGCTCCTACTGTCATCCATCACCTTCTGCACACCGGATTCTCAGAATCTAGGCTCTGATACCGACCCCTCCTTTGACTTCAGAGTATATGGATTCCAATCCTTCGATGACTGATAACAAACAGTATGCTTCTTCCATGTGATCTTAGTTGACATTTCACTTAGATGTCTACTTGTTTGGAGGCAAGTCAACTTTTTTTTTTTTTTTTCTGTAGGAAGAAGAATTTGAAAATTCCCATACACCTCTTGACCCTAAAAATTCTTGCCTAAGGATAAATTGCACATTTGGAGTTCTCTTAGGATGAGGGAGTCAGGAGATTCAACTAGAAGGTTCTGGACTTCTCAGGGCACAATGTGATCTAAGGAGAAAATTCAAATTTAAAACCACCTTCTTCAGAAATCGTGGTAAAAGAAAGAAAAATAAAACTATATTGTCTTAAAGAGGCCCTGGTGGCACACTGGACTAAGTGTAGGACTGCTAACCACAAGGTTGATGGTTCAAAGCCAGCAGCCACTCTATGAGAGTAAAGCAAGACTGTCTGCTCCCATAACGATTTCCAGTATCATAAACCTTAAGAAGCCACTCTACTTTGTCATATAGGATGACCATGAGTCAGAATCATCTTGATTGCAGTGGGTAAATGGTCTTAAGATAATTAATAAAATAAAACTAAAAAGAGAAACCTACTTCTCAAGGAGAACAATAGAGATTTCCTGGAAAAGAAAAATGGAATTCAGGGTACTGAAAAGAAGAATAAGGCATGGGTTTTGTATATGTTTTATAATTATTGCTCATTTGTATATATATTTTGTGGCCAAGCTCCTGGATTTCCAAAAAGCTATTGGCTATATGTGTTGGGGAAAATAGTAATGATGAAAATAGAATTCAAATTTGACCTATTTCTCCCTAAGAATGATCCTTTAATTAATTTAAGCAATTCTTTCAGGGAAAGTAATTTGTGCCCAAAGCATTAGAGAGACTAATGAAGGATACAGTCTAAATCTGAATTGTTACAGAACAAGATCCTGAAGGGATTTTTATATGTTAAAGCATACCCACTTATGTTTGATATTTTGGGAATCATGGGAAACATAAGAATAGCAAGATATTCAAGATGGGCAAAGGGTGCTCCACTGTTCAGAGAGCGTATGAAAGCTTTGGGGAAAGTACACATCAGGCGGCACTGAACTGGAAGGCCTGAATTCAATCCATGATTCATCTACTAATTTACTAATCTGTGGCAAACCTCAGGTTGTCTAAACTTCTATTCCCCTGTGAGTGTACAAATAACTATAGTATAATACAAAAAGATACAAAGGGGCCTCAAAAAGTCCAAGGGACAATTTTATTATCTTTAACTCCATTTCCCCACAAACTATTGGAAGCCTTGTTGTGCAGCAAATCATGAATGACTGCTTTACAGAGGCCTGTCTTTATGGTGGATACTGAAAATAGAAAGATGAAAATCCAGATGCTCTGTTCACAGTTTTGACGAGCAAGCTAGCCATCTACTTGCATTTACTCCTTGAGAAAGAGGTAGCAGTCCAGTGTGTCCAAGCCACATTAGTAATAGGTACACAGATCGCCCAGTGGAGGAGGAACTGAAGGCTGCCTGTGGAGGCAGCCTCCAAAGCAGTCAGCGGCGTTTCCTCCTTATCTGTACCTGAACCGATGAGTCCTACTGATTACAGATCACCAAACTGATTCTACATCAATGTGTGGTGCAAAAAGCTCAACTCGGTGACCAGCTACCCTATCATGTGTTTTCAGTCAATTGAATCTCCCCTTTTGTCAAAGATTTGCCACCCATATTCTCCAGTCTCCTACCTCACTCACCTCCAATTCCCAGCAAATAACTTCGTCTTTTATTTTACCAGGACAGAGAAGGTTATTAAAAATGAATTGATTAAACTTCTCTGCAGTCAAGCTCAGAGATCTCTGCTCCTTCCTGCTTTCCTTCTTGTATTAACTAGCCCTGTTATATGGTCTAGATCCCATTTCTCGGGAAATCATCTTTTATACACGAAATTGATTCTCTTTGAAAATACTTATTTTTGCAAATACAAATTAAGTATCTCATTTGTAACTGGAAGGTATTAAGCAGGAGAATGGCCTCGTATTATTTACATTTTAATTATTGGCTAGAGGGTTTGTATCTGAATTATTTTACATGACTTTAAATATTATCAATCATGTTTATCAAAATAATCCTCCTATTATTTGCTGGTTTCATTATTTTCTGTCTGCTTCAGAACACGGTATCACTCTCATTCTTTCCCATCTCTGCCTATCTGATGATATGATTTTTTTCTCATATAAAAAAAATTATTTTAAGCTTCCCACCTGTCCCCCATCTCTCTTTACACATCCTCTCTCACATACCTTTAACCTTCCTATGGCTAAGTTCTAGTCACTGAAAAACAAAACACCAAGACAAATAAACACTGAAGCTGTCTAGTAGAGAAGACAGACAAGGGAACAGAGAATTGGAATATGATACAGTCAGTATCACATTGAACAGTGGGAACCCAGGGTCAAGATTTATCTTTCTGTCTGGGAGCTTAGAGAGCATTCACCAAAGAGACGTCATTTGCACTGAAATGAAGCACTCTCAGGTGGTGGAGGAGAGACACACATTAAAGACAGTCACCATCTTCGTTTTCCTTCTCTGTTTTTGCTACCTCCAAGTCAATTGTAGCAAGCCCCCAAATAATAGTATTGATCATTTCCTGTATATCTGTCCTATAGGAAACGTTTTACTAGTTTCCAAATTTGCTCATTTAATTTTCACTCAACCTAGTAAATGGAAGTGTTCGTTCTAGCTGACAGATAAAAAGGTTAAGTCCCAGTGGGTGAAGGGAGACGTCGGACAGGGCAAGATATGACAAAATACCAATTTATAAATTACCAAGGGCTCATGAGGGAGGGGGGAGCGGGGAGGGAGGGGGAAAATGAGGACCTAATGCCGGGGGCTTAAGTGGAGAGAAAATGTTTTGAGAATGATGAGGGCAATGAATATACAAATGTGCTTTACACAATTGATGTATGTATGGAGTGTAATAAGAGTTGTATGAGCCCCTAATAAAATGATTTTTTTTAAAAACTACAAAAAAAAAGGGTAAGTCCCTTGGCTCAATCCATACAAGTAGGAAGTAGAATTACAGCTTAACAGTCAGTTTCTAAATCTGACTGTTTCTTTTCGTCTCTGTTTACTATGCACAAAACCTCGAAGTATTATTTCCTACCTCTTCTTGCTACTACTACATTTAATCCACATTCCAAATATTTCATATTTAGAAACTGATCTTTCTCTGTTTCTTTATCATTCCGCCTACTCTTCTATCTCCTGATCTTGACCCTGAGACTCATCCAAATCAAGTTTCCTTTTCATTCAAATCTTTAAAGCTCATGAATTTAGCCTTTTCATCCATCTAAGCTTTGATGCTCAGTTTGAGGTTTTAAAATTTGATTTCCTTAAAAACGTTTTAGGCCCAACTTATTTTCGCGGTCTGCATATCATCCAAGGCCTGCTACTATTTGGGATGCTTTTCACTCCACTCTTGTTGAAACACCCGCCCGTTTCCCTGAAGTCTGAATTTGCATGAACCGCATGTACACTATGATTTCTGACCCAGCCACTGACCTGGTTTGTTGTACATAGTCACTGCCCAGTTCCTAAATCAGAGGACTTTTTAAGGAAAAGAGTTATGACTCAAGAGGGGGATGATTTGCTGAGAATTTGGTACAGGTACGAAATCAGGCTTTCTCAAGAAGGAAGCAGACATTAGATGTAATCTAGACGAATGGTGCAAAC